CCTCAGCAGGACAGGAGATGGGTCCAGCATTGCACACGTAACTCTACGCCAATCCACACCAGAGTGTTCACTTTCACTCTCCAGCTTCCCGAAATGTTAATCTTTCATTTTGCGTTCATGGCGTACAAACACCTTCCATACGGACACCATGACAATAACGAGTCGGCACGAAGGGGCACTGGGCTCCTCCTGAAAGCCAGTGCCCGGAACCAGAGGGGAAGCAGCCTCCTCCAGGGCGGCTGCCGTGTGGCAGAGGCGGTGCCGGGCTGAGGCTCACAGGGCTTCGGCCCTCGGGGACTCTGAGTCATGCGGCACCTGCAGAGTCGCTGTCCCCAGAACAGAGTCCTCATCTCTCCTGAGCAACGCCTCCACGTGCCACTGCCCCAGGATGAGCCCTCTGCACGTCTGTCCTCGCTTATCACTTGGCTCTCGTGGCCCTCTGAGCAGGCAGGAGCGGTCGCTTGTCCACATCAGCAGCTGACCCTCAGCGTTCAGGATTCTGCAACGCAAGCTCCCTGATTCGCCAAGATCACCTGTGGCCCTCACGTCCGTACGTGGGGGGCTCCTGAGGTCACTCCAGGCCTCCAGGTGCCCAGGGCAGGGGCAGGTGCACAGGGTGGCGGCGGGGGGGTGTGTGTGCATCCCCTGGTGCACCTGTCCCAGCTGGGGCTCAGCCAAGTGACACTGCCCACCGCCCCGTTTTAGCTCTTTCCACCATGTGCTGGTGTCACGTTTCTCGCGTTTGTGCTATTGTTGGGTAGGGAGCTGGAAATTAGCTGATGCATGTGAGAGAGGCTCGGAAAGGCCGGGAAAGGAAGGCAGCAGCCTCCACAGGGCCCTGGGAACAGCTTCACGGGGGCCCTGCCTCCCCCACTCCCAGGAAGGCACCCTAGGGGAATCCCCTCTGCCCTGTGCCAAGCGGGCTACAAGTCTGACAACACCGGGTAATGTACACCGGGGAGGAATTCTTTTTTTATTTATTTTTTTTATTTTTTTTTTTATTTTTTGACAGGCAGAGTGGACAGTGAGAGAGAGAGACAGAGAGAAAGGTCTTCCTTTGCCATTGGTTCACCCTCCAATGGCCGCCACGGTCGGCACACTGCGGCCGGCGCACCGCGGCTGATCCGATGGCAGGAGCCAGGAGGCAGGTACTTATCCTGGTCTCCCATGGGGTGCAGGGCCCAAGCACTTGGGCCATCCTCCACTGCACTCCCTGGCCACAGCAGAGAGCTGGCCTGGAAGAGGGGCAACCGGGACAGAATCCGGCGCCCTGACCAGGACTAGAACCCGGTGTGCCGGTGCCGCTAGGCGGAGGATTAGCCTGTTGAGCCGCGGCGCCGGCCCCGGGGAGGAATTCTACCTGTTTCACACCCAGCAAACCCTCTGCCAGGAGAAGGGGGGGCACCGTGGGGAAGCCCTGGACCCTGCTCCCTTCCAAGCCCCCCCCCCTGCCCCCGTCTGCACACAGACCGCGCACTCCGCCCTTCCTGACGCGCCCGCCTGGTCTCTCCGGGTGTTTCAGCTCCCTCAGCTCAGGCCTGCCCCCCCCGACCCCGCAGGTGCATCCCCTCTGAAGCTGTGTAACCTTGCTCACCCCAGCCTGAAGGGCCGGGCGCTCCCAGACCCCGTGTGCAGAGGGGCCGTCCGTTCTGCCGGACGCCCTGCACCCACTGAGCCTCGCTGCCTTGCCTGCCTCTCGCGCCCAAACTCCTCGCGTGAGCACCTCTACAGCTCCCGGCTCCGCTAGCGCCGTCTTTGGGGACGCGCGGGAGCCGTCTGTGCCTTCTGGAGAACACACTCCCATCAGCTGAGGGTCACACGGCCACGCAGCACTGGTCACGTCCAGCAGCACCGCGAGGCGAAAGTCCTGGGGCAATGAGGCAGCCGAAGCTTCCGGAAACGAGGCTCTGTGCTGACCGGAGTGGCCAGGGCTCAGAGCCGAACCCCGTGTTTCCCTGGGGGGGGGGGGGCTCGGCGGCCTCAAGGAGTGGTGAGTGTAAGGTCTGTCGGCTGTCACTCGGCTACGGGGCGGAAGTGGGAGGTGGGCCAGGCAGTGCTGCCCCAGAGCCTCACTCTGGAACGTGGCACCCCGGGCGGCTTCCCTACACAAGGCACTGCGACTCATGCCGTGAGCGGGTTTATTTCTGCGCCCAAGACAACAGCCCAGGCCGGAAGTCTGCGCCCCCCCAACCCTCCCCGCGGCTGCCATGCACTGCTCTTCCCAGCACCGCACACGGGCAGCTCCGGAGCTGAGCCACCAACCCAAAGGTGCTGCCTGGCCACGGGGACCGTGGGTGTCCCCGTGTGCGGCCCAGCCTGCCCAGGTACTTCCGTCGTGGGCAACACCTTTTCTGGCTGACACTCAAGACCAGGGATCAGTCGGCTGCAGCGCCTCCACGCCGTGGCCTCTCTGCTCCATCAAAGCCTCCTCTGCCTCAGTGGGGCTCAGAGGGCTACTGCCCCCCCCGGAGGGGCCCCCACCTTCCAGGTTCAGCCCCAGAGGGCCAGCTGCACCCCGCCCTCGGAGGGGCCGCCACCGTCCAGGTTCAGCCCCAGAGGGCCAGCTGCCCCCACCCTCGGAGGGGCCCCCACCTTCCAGGTTCAGCCCCAGAGGGCCACTGCCCCCGCCTCGGAGGGGCCCCCACCTTCCAGGTTCAGCCCCAGAGGGCCAGCTGCCCCCGCCCTCGGAGGGGCCCCCACCTTCCAGGTTGAGCCCCAGAGGGCCAGCTGCCCCCGCCCTCGGAGGGGCCCCCACCTTCCAGGTTCAGCCCCAGAGGGCTGGTTGCACCCCGCCCTCGGAGGGGCCGCCACCTTCCAGGTTCAGCCCCAGAGGGCCGCTGCCCCGCCCTCAGAGGGGCCCCCACTTTCCAGGTTCAGTCCCAGAGGGCCGCTGCCCCCCCGGAGGGGCCCCCACCTTCCAGGTTCAGTCCCAGAGGGACGCTGCCCCCCCCAGAGGGGCCCCCACCTTCCCAGTTCAGCCCCAGAGGGACGCTGCACCCCCCCGGAGGGGCCCCCACCTTCCCAGTTCAGCCCCAGAGGGCCGCTGCCCCCCCCCGGAGGGGCCCCCACCTTCCAGGTTCAGCCCCAGCAGGCCGGCTGCCCCCGCCCTCGGAGGGGCCCCCACCTTCCAGGTTCAGCCCCAGAGGGCCGCTGCCCCCCCCCAGAGGGGCCCCCACCTTCCAGGTTCAGCCCCAGAGGGCCGCTGCCCCCCCCCAGGGGCCACCACCTTCCAGGTTCAGCCCCAGAGGGCTGCTGCCCCCTCCCGGAGGGGCCCCCACCTTCCAGGTTCAGCCCCAGAGGGCCGCTGCCCCCCCCCAGGGGCCGCCACCTTCCAGGTTCAGCCCCAGAGGGCTGCTGCCCCCTCCCGGAGGGGCCCCCACCTTCCAGGTTCAGCCCCAGAGGGCCGCTGCCCCCCCCCGAGGGGCCGCCACCTTCCAGGTTCAGCCCCAGAGGGCCGCTGCCCCCCCCCGAGGGGCCCCCACCTTCCAGGTTCAGCCCCAGAGGGCCCCCACCTTCCAGGTTCAGCCCCAGAGGGCCGCTGCCCCCCCCGGAGGGCCCCCACCTTCCAGGTTCAGCCCCAGAGGGCCGGCTGCCCCCCCCCTCGGAGGGGCCCCCACCTTCCAGGTTCAGCTCCAGCAGGAAGAAGCCGGCCCCCCCAACCCGTTTGACCAAATGAAGCCAGAGGCTCAGACCCGGGCAAGCTGCAGTCAGGGGAGGCCGCCTACTCTGCGAGCACATGCACACTTGGGGAAATCAAGGCACGCGTGGAGCATCGGGGTCTTCACACCCTCCCTTGGCGGGCCTGGCTCTCGGCTGCCGGCATGTTCTGTCGTGACCGTCCCCCACACCGGGTGCAGGACCCCGGCCTCACGGCCACCAGGGTGGGCGAAGGAAGGAGACCTCCAACTGCAAGGCGCGGAGCGGGGAGCCAGGCAGCCCGCTCAGTTCCCAGGCTCCCGGAGTGACCACGCGACCGCAGCGCGCGGCCGGGCGGAGCCGGGCCTGCCTGGCCACGCGGCCTCCCTCTGGCAGGGGCCAGCCTGCTTCCTTGGCGGGGCCCAAGTCTAGACTGCGTATGACTCGTCAGATCAAGGCCCGCGAGTCCTGCACAGCTAACAGGGGCTCTCACCCTACCACTCACTTAACCTAGCGAGTCAACCTTAAAAAATTTTTAAAGATTTAGGCAGAGTTACAGAGACAGAGAGAGGTCTTCCATCTGCTGGTTCACTCCCCAGATGGCCACAACGGCCAGGACCGGGACCAGGTCAATGCCAGGAGCCAGGCGCTTCTTCCGGGTCTCCTACGGGGGTACAGGGGCCCCAGCACTTGGGCCATCTTCTACTGCTTTCCCAGGCCATAGCAGGGAGTTGGACCCCCAAGTGGGGCAGCCGGGACTCGAACCTGCGCCGCACGCAGTGGTGTGACCCCCCCCCCTGCAGCACAGCGCAGCCTCCGGAGTTCATCCCTACCACGGATCTGCAGGCTGGGGGAGGGGGACGGGGCGTCCGGGGTGGGGGCTGGGCTCAGGTCCCACAGCACTGTGCCTGCCACTCACGGTCCCTGCAACGCCTCCGCCCGCGCCCCTGCAGCGGGTGGGCGGGGCCCCAGCGCCGGGAAGCCGCAGGGGCGCGGCCCTCGCTCCAGGCCCTACACCCCCCTCCCCTCCAAGTCCCGGGGGTGGCCCGCGGGCCGAGAGCGACAAAGCACCAGCGAGCCTCTCGCCGTCTCCAGGGCTCCGCACGCAGACGCGCTGGGCTGGGCGGCACCGGGTGCGTCTGGAGCGCACGCTGCCCACTTCCCCAGGCTTCCGGGACCCCCAAACTGCAGGGCGCAGCAGGACAGCCCCCCTCGAACCACGCACTTCCGCAAGAGACCAGCCAAAAATAGCCCCTTCCGGCCAAGTCGGAGCCCCGGCCCGCCCCCTGTGGGCGGGGCCCCGGCACAGACACGCCCCTCGCTTCCGCCTCGCGTCCGACCGCGCCAGGCACCGCCGCGACCCGCCCTCCCGTGACGTCACTTCCGGGGCGGCCCCGGGCGGGGCCCGCGCGGGCGCCGCTGTCCTGAGCTGTCTTGGCTCGGCCGGCGGACACGTCCTCGCGCCGGGCAGCGGGCGCTTCCCCGCCGTCCGAGGGCCGCCGGGCCGCCGCGGGCCTGCCGCGCCTGGGTAAGGGGCTCGCGCTGCCGTCCAGCGGGCTGCCTGGACCGGCCTGGGACTGGGCGCCGGGGTGGGGGCCGGGGGAAGGCTGCGGGGGGGCCGGAGGAGGATGAATGGGGTCGCAGAGGCCAGAGGAGGGGCGGGGGAGGGGGCTGCGGGAGAGGGGCGGAGTGGGCCGAGGCCCCGGGAGCGTGGGTGGGGGCCCGGCTTGGGGCCCGGCGTGGCACGTCCAGGGCCGGCCTGGGCCCCAGCGAGGGTGGCCCTCAGAGGAGCGGTCCCTTGGGCGAGCCGGGCCTCCCTGCAGACCCTGCCCGGCACCTCTGCCTGCACCTGCCGGCCTCCGCGGGCGCCCACACGGCTCGGATAAACAGCGCCGCGTTCAAGACGCGTGCGTGTTCCCTTGACTTGCCCGGTGGACAAGCAGTGTCACCTCACCCACGGTGGCCGCGGGAGCTGGGCCGGGGCGCCCGGCTCGCGGAGGCCTGGAAGCCGGCGCTGCAGGTCGCACTGTGCCACCTGGACACATCCTTTGGACCGCGGGGCAGTGTCTGTACACACAGAACTGTGTTCCTTGGGCTTCTGCCACCAAAGTCCAGCCAGGTGGCGTGTCAGGGTGGGGTCCCTGTCCCTGGGGTGGCGATCGCGCCTGCTGATAGGCACTGATGGCCTGTGGCCGTGGCTCTGAGCACTGCCACGCCCGGGGGCAGGGAGGTGGACACCCGGGTCCAGTCTGGGAGGCGCCTCCCCCCGGGGTCTCCGGCTGCGTCCCCCTGGCAGATCCACCCCCTGACAGCCCTGTCTCCGACTCAGCGCGAGCGTGACTCTTCCCTGGTTGTCCTGCCTGGCCTCCCTTCCCCGGAACTCGGGCCACACTCTCGTGTAAGGCTCACGGAAGCCCTTGTGGGGGAAGCTACTGTGTGAGTCTCATCACAGGTTTGATTATGAGTCAGGGCGGGACCGGGTCAGAGCGGTCAGTGTCCAGCGAGGGCCTGCCCTGACTGCGTGCGGCCGATCTCTGTTCCTGCGGCAGTGACCGCCGGAGAGTGAGCGGGCACGGCGTCCGCCTGGTTCCCTGAGAAGCTGGTGGAGCTCCCGAGACGGCCATGTGAAAATTGTGTGTGTGTGCGATTCCCCACGGACACGTGTGTGACTGCCGTGTGGGCCTGTGTGGTGAGGGGCGTGTGCGTGCCTGCAGCCGCGTGGTGCACACGTGTGTGACTGCCGTGTGGGCCTGTGTGGTGCGTGCCTGCAGCCGCATGGTGCACACGTGTGTGACTGCCGTGTGGGCCTGTGTGGTGTGGGCCTGTGTGGTGAGGGGCGTGTGCGTGCCTGCAGCCGCGTGGTGCACACGTGTGTGACTGGGCAGCTGCAGGTGTGTGTGGCCGTGTGCACACATGGGCGTTTGTGTCGGAAGCGGGTCTCTGGGGTCCTGGTGCCTCTCCACCTGCTGACGTCGCCTGTCCTGTGTGGGCGGTGAGGAGCCGCGTCCGTAACCTCCCGAGTGTCCATCAAGTACCCGTCCGCTGGCGGCCGCTTGTTTCTTTGTGCTGCTCCTGGAGTCCTCCAAGGTTTCTCTTGGTTCCTGGGAAATGTGCCTGCTGACAGTCAGTTCTCTAGATTATTCCAGCCCAGTGTGCGGCAGTGTCCAGTGGGGTCGCCGTGCCTTCCGCCCGGAGCACAGGGACAGAGTCCCAGTTGTTTTCTCTCAACATGGCTGTTCTTCAGAAGTGTCTTCCGCGGTGGTGCCTGCCCCTGCAGCACAGCGGGGCTGTCCTTGTACCTTTCCCGCGCAGGCCTGCCCAGGCCCTTAGGTCTGTTTAGGCAGAAGCGGGATCCTGGCGCGTTTGCTGTGTGCCACCTGCGGTCCCGTCGATGCGCGGAGCTCCGTGGGTTCTCAACAGCTGCTGTAGTATTTTACAGTGAGTGAGCCCGTGCCTTGCGAAACTACCCGGTTCCTTGGCACGTCCGCTGGCGTTTTCCCTCTGGGCGCGGCTGTCCAGTTGCTTCCCTAAAGAATCCCCGCTGTGGAGAAGGCTCCGCCAGCACCGCGACGTTGGAAGACGATGTGTGTGGTCATTTCCCGGGACGACGGCCGGCTGACCACCGCTCGGGCCTGCGCCGCCTCCTTGCCATGTCGCTGTTCCTGAGGAGTTTGCTTCTTCTTCAAACCCTAGATGCACCTGTTTGCAGAGTGGAGCGTCTGCCTTCGTCCCACCTGTGCACGAAGCATGCCATGGCCCAGGGGCGCACCTCCTGCAGAGCCAGACCTCACCTGGCCCGCCCCCAGTGCCCAGCCCGCAGCTCCCCGACGAGGAAGATGGCCCAGCCCAGGAGTGCGCCCTGAGCGGCCGCCTCTGGTGAGTGCCCGGCCCTGCAGCTGGGCCTGCCCGTTTGGGCATGGCCAGGGAGCCTGGAGAAAGTCCGCAGGGGGCTTTGCATGGTGGACAGGGTGCAGGAAGAAGGCAGGACACAGCAGGGAGCTGGATTAGAAGCAGGGTGGCTGGGCTTGAACCACGCACCCTGGTGTGGGCGTGAGCATCCCAGGAAGTGGCTTAATCCACCGAGCCACAGCGCCCGCTCCGGGTCCTGCCTTCTGAGTGGACCCAGTGGGCGGGCCACAGCAGGGGCGGGCAGGAGGGCTCTGGGACCACACGGTCCCTCCGTGCCCTCTTGTGCTTTCCTGACGCCACGTGTGTTACTGCAAGAGGTCGTCCAGGCCTGTGTCAAGGGGAGTCCTCCCTGCAGGGGGACGCTGCGCCTCCTGCCGCGGGGGATGGAGGAGGAGGCTGCTGCCCCGGCTCGCACGCCCAGGAAGGAGGTGATCCGGATCCACCCGTCCCCTGATGGCTCCTTTGCCGCCTTAGCTGGAGTAGCCACCCTGGGGTCGGCTGACGGCTGCAGCGGGGCTGGCCCGCCTGCTGCTTGTCTGTGTGAATCAGGTTTTAGCGGATGCAGCCACGCCCACCCTTACACATCCACCACAGCCTCACCTGTGGCGGAACGCAGTAGCCACGGCCGTGTACCCCACGCCCTCCGGACAGAGGTCCGCTGACCTCTGCCCACGCACGGTGCGGAGGCTGCACGGCCTGGGTGCATTCGGGAAGCCAGGACCCTGCGTGCCTGTCAGAGGCCTCTTTTTTTTCTTTTTTAAGATTTTATTTATTTATTTGAAAGGCAGAGGCAGAGAGAGGTCTTCTATCCACTGGTTCACTCCCCAAACGGCTGCCACAGCCAGAGCTGGCCCGATCCAAAACCAGGAGCCAGGAGCTTCTTAAGGTCTCCCGCGCGGGTGCAGGGCCCGAGGACCTGGGCCATCCTCCACTGCTTTCCCAGAAAGCTGGATCAGAAGTGGAGCAGCCGGGACTCGCACCGGTGCCCGTATGGGATGCCAGCACTGCAGGCGGCGCCTTTACCGGCTACACCACAGCGCCAGCCCCCCATCAGAAGCCTCTTGGCACACTAACCACGTCCCATTCACCCGGCAGGCCCCGCAGATCCAGGGCCGGGCACGGGGCGCATCTCCGGCCGTGGTGTTCAGTGCAGGAGCTGTGACCAGCGGGGCAGCCCTCTAGGTGCTCGTCCTGAGTCGGAGCCCGCCGCCTGCCCTGGCCCTGGCCGGCCTCTGGGCCCTCGGCGCTGAAGGCCCTGTTAGGATGCTGCTCTGCTGCTTCTCCCCGCCCCACTCCTCTCTGCTGAGACAGAGGATGCTTTTGGCACCCGGGAAAGCAGATGCGGATCTGGTTGGTGAGGCCGAGCCACTTTTCCAGACCCGTGAGACGGTTTTGGAGGGCGGTGCCTCTGGGGTCGGCAGCTGGCTCGTGCGTGACGCCCTGTGGGACGCCTGCATCCCATGTCTGCGTGGCAGGGCGCAAGTCCCAAGCTGCTTCCGACCCAGCCTCCTGCTAATACACACCCTGCTTGGCACCCTGCCACCCACGTGGGGGATCCGGCTTCGACCTGCCCAGCCCCAGCTGGTCAGGGTGTGCTTCTTGGGCTGGGCCATGACCAGGCCAGTAGCCGTGCGAGGCGCTTGCTTGGTGAGCTGAGACAGGGCCCTGGGTTACTGAGGTCAGGAGCTGGGGCTCGGACCCATGCAGATGCACCCCCCACTGCTGTACTGCACCTTGTTCCTAGGGCGACGGCCTCTTACCCCCGAGTGAGGGATGGCAGCTGACCTGCACCCCAGCCCCAAGGCTGCTGAGTGCGGGTGTCCCCGGGACCCTGCAGTGCTGTCCTGACTGTGCAGTGTGGGCGTCCCCAGGACCCTGCAGTGGTGTCCCGACTGTGGAGTGCGGGTGTCCCCGGGACCCTGCAGTGCTGTCCTGACTGTGCAGTGTGGGTGTCCCTGGGACCCTGCAGTGCTGTCCTGACTGTGGAGTGTGGGTATCCCCGGGATCCTGCAGTGCTGTCCTGACTGTGCAGTGTGGGTGTCCCCGGGACCCTGCAGTGCTGTCCCGGCTGTGCAGTGCGGGTGTCCCCGGGGCCCTACAGCGTTGCCCTGACTGTGCAGTGCGGGTGTCCCCGGGACCCTGCAGCGTTGTCCTGGCTCTGGAGCGCGGGAGTCCCCGGGACCCTCTCCTTTTCCTTGTCCTCAGCAGTTTTGCTCCAAAACCAAACCAATGGAGCTGACTGTTCCAAAGACCTGTTGAGGCCTTCCAGGCGTCCATGTCACCCCTTTGTGTTAGAATGGGGGACCCTGGCTTCCGGGGCACATGGCAAAGGGGCCATGGGGACCCTTGCCTTCTCCGGGGTGAAGTCATTCATTCCTTCAGCCATTCTTCCATTCATTCATTCAGCAGCACCCTCAGGGGCAGGTGCTGTGGTCCCCAGGCACTAGAGACCAGAGACAGAGGGTGCCAGCCCCCGTCCTTGGAGTGGTTAGGGTGGCTGGCAGGTGGTGGGGCTGGGGGGACAGAGCGAGAGGAAACATCTGGACAGGAGAAGACCCTGGGGCCCTTTGAAGATGAGCAGGGCACCTAGGCAGCCTGGTGGTGGGAGCTGCACAGCGGGGCCGGTGTCTGAAGGGCATGAGTGTGGAGGAACCTCGGGGCGGGAAGGGGTTTCAGCCAATGGAGGCAGCTTAGGGGACACGGGGGTGTCATGGCAGCCGTGGCGGGGCAGGTGGATCACAGCCAGGTGTCTCAGATGTGAGTCATTGATGGCTTTGGGGACGGACAGGGAGAGGACACTGGCCCTGATGGGGACCTCAGGGCACTTTCATGCAGAGACCTGAGGTCAGGTGGCATCGCAAAGCCACGCTCTGCTGTGCTGTGGAACTCGGGCGCTTCGTGGGAAGGCCCTGGCAGAGACCAGTGTCTTGGGGCAAGACTGGGTCAGAAGTCAGTCTGAGGCTGCCACACCGTGCACCTGCACAGGGCGGGGCTGTGGCCCCGGGGAGGGCTGGGCCTCTCGGGCTGCCCTGTGGGACTCGTGTTGAGCGCGGCTGAGCACAGGCCTGGGGCAGCCCCCAGGACCAGGTGCCAGCTCCCTGTTGCACCCCGTGGTGAGCGACTCCAGCCTGGCGCCTGCAGAGGGACCTGGTGTGAGTGTGGCGAAGCCCTGTGTCCCAGGCGGCCGGTTCAGGCCCAGTCTGCACCGTCTCCCTGCTGGACACCCGGGGCAGCTGCAGCAGGTCCTTCCAGCCTGCCTCCGTGGTCCCTCGCAGCACACCCCTCACTGAGCCCGCCTGGCTCGCTGCCCCGGCCAGCCCTGTCAACCCCAGCCACACCCTGCCAAGGTGTCCCGGGGGCTCCTGCCAGAGGACCGACATGCCTCAAGCCCCCAAGGCCTGCCTGGTGCCGTTCCCCCACCCCGCCTCCCAGCACGGAGGCACAGCCCCGCCCGTCGCTTGCGCCAGCCTGCGGTGGCCTCTGTGTCCCCCGCTGGACTGCAGAGCTGCAGGACGAGGGGCTGCTGGTCATCTTTTACCCTCCGTCTACTGCCTGGCGTCTGAGCACACACCTGGTGGACGCTGGGCAGCTGAGAACAGCTGATGGGCCCCGAGGCCTTTGGCCCAAGTTAAGCCGCTGCGCTTCTCACGTCAGAGTGCCTGGGTTCCAGGACCGATTCTGGCTTCCAGCTGTCGGGCACCCTGGGAGGTGGCAGGTGATGGCTCAAGAGGTTGGGTCCCTGCCACCCATGTGGAAGTCAGCCTGGCCCAGCCTGGTCACTGTGGGCATCTGGGGAGTGAAGCGGCCAGTCTCCACTGTCTCTCCTGTCTGTCCGTCTCAGCCTCTTCCTTTTACGGGAGTGTGAGGGAGAGGAAACATCTGGGCAGGAGAAGACCCTGGGGCCCAGAGGGGTGGCAGGTGCATGGCGGCTGGCCACGCGGCACTCCCTGTGTGAAAGGTGACGGCGGCTGTCCGGGGCCTCCTGCAGCCCGTGGAGGAGCCACGGAGGAACTCGGCAGCTCTCGGCCTGGTGCTGAAAGGGTTCTCTCTCCACGGATGCCGCCTCGGCCTGGCACTCTCTACGGCTCCCGCTCTGATCTCCGGGCCCTGGGGCTAGGCGTCCGAACGGTTGTCGAGAAGTGCTTCAGACCCATCAAGGGCGAGGGGTGCGGCAGGCGGCTTCCCATGCCTGGCATGTGCTGGCCTGTCCTGGGCGCCAGCCATGGGCTGGCCATCCGTGGGCGCCCTGGACCCAGCCGGGACCCCTGTGCAGCAGGTGCAGTGCTGAGCCCGGGCCTCAGGCGAGCCTCGGTGTGGCTGCCCGGAAGTCTGACCGCTGTGCTTTCCCGGCGCAGGTTCCCTGGCCGGGCAGGAGGGAGCCGTCACCAGTGTGAGCAGCCGGCCGGCCCGGCCCGTCCGCAAGATGTGGGCAGCCCTCGTGCTCCTCTGCATTTCCTCCTTGTCCTTGTCTGAAAGCCGGGTGGCGTCCCCCGAGGCACGTAAGTGAGAAAGCGGGGTGGCTGGGGAACTTTGGCTTCCTGGGTGCTGGGCTGGGCGGGGGCTTCGCAGGCCCTGTAGGGGGTGCCCCCGGGGACCCAGGCCGCGCCGCCCTGGAGCTGAGCCGCAAAGCCATTCATCCATGCATCGGATACTAAGTTCATCCAAGCCTCGTCCAGTCACACACCAGATACCTCCTCAGGCGCTGTTCAGCCCTGAGCCCTCCTGCTGCGAACCCCTTCCCAGGCCGGGAGCTCTTTGCTGTGGGGGCGGGGGTGGGGCGGATGTCCTGGGACCCTGGTGCTTCTGGAATTCGGTTGCATCTGCACCGTGCAGTTCTTGGGCTTTCCACAGCTTGGGGGTGGGGGGGACGGAGGAGCCCCAGAACCAAGTACGGGGGCTGCCCTGAGGGGCCGTGCAGGCCCACACCTCGCCCTCCTGGGCTCTGGTCGGCCCGCGACTCACACGACCGCATCCGTCTCCCGTCTCTGGCTTTAGGGCCCCTCATCCCTCATGGCACATGGAACAAACTGGTCAAACGAGATGCATCAGTGGAAACAGCTCCAGGGACCGAGAGTAAAACGCCGGCGCTGGCGCTAACCAGCACGCAGACGCCGGGGACCGTGGTGACCGGCCATGCCTCCACGGCCGTCACGGCAGAGACGACAAACAGCACAACACACACGGCCCCGGCCACTGTGCAGCGGACGACGGGCGGGGCGGCCTCCCGAGCACCCTCGTCGCCCACCTCGGCTGTCCCCACAACCACCGCTGGGCTTCTGCCCCCCAGCACGTCTCATGCCCAGGTGCCCGGCAGCAGCTCTGTGCCAAGAACGGCCACATCGGCAGCACCAGCCACAAGTGCCCACACCACTGCCGTGACCACTGTGCACACAAGCAGTCCCACGGGCACCCACGGTCCTTCCGAGCACACCCCCGGGAACGCCACGGCCAGCCCCGCACCCACCACGGGTCCCCAAGCACAAGGCCCCACTGTGCAGGTGCCAACACACCCGCCTGTGGTTAGCACGGTACATGGGCCCACGCCCACCCCCTCGCCCACAACCCTGGAGCCCAACACCTCTACCCCCACCCCCAGCCCCTCCCCCTCCCCCAGGCCCTCCCCCACTATGGCTTCCACATCGTCCACAGCAGTGACCACCACCAAGCCACCAGCTGAGGAGCCGACCACCAACTCGGGGCCAGCGCCTCCCACCCACCTGAGCCCTCAGGTGCACACCACATCCCCTACGACACAGCCAAGCCCTGCCTCGCCCACTGGGGCGGCCAGCAGCCCGGGCACTGTCCAGACGCCAGAGCAGGTGGGGACCAGGGCCACGACCGGCTCTGCCTCCACCGGGCTGACACCCAGGAGCTCAGGGGACTCGCCGACACCAGCCACAGACTCGTGCCCGCCCAGCACCCAGGGCCGGTACCTGGTGGTCACCACCAAGGCCCTGAGCCCTTCCCCGGTGAACAGAACCTTCCTGGTGGCGGTGCTCGTGCTGGGGGTGACGCTGTTCCTCACGGTCCTGGTTCTGTTCGCCCTGCAAGCCTACGAGAGCTACAGGAAGAAGGACTACACGCAGGTGGACTACCTGATCAACGGCATGTACGCAGACTCGGAGATGTGAGGCCCGGCCCCCTGCCACGCCCGGTGCTTCCAGACCTGGGGTGGGGTCTGGGGATGACGTCAGATGTGAGACCCGGTCCCCCCACCACGTCCAGTGCTTCCAAACCAGGTGGGGTCTAGGAATAATGCCAGATACAAGGCCCAGCCCCCGGTCACTCCCAGTGCTCCCAGACCTGGGATGGGGTCTAAGGATGACGTCATACGAGGCCCAGTCCCCCCAGCCACACCCACTGCTTCCAGACCTGGGGTGCGGTCTAGGGATGATGTCATAGGAGGCCCAGTCCCCCGGCCACGCCCGGTGCTTCCAGACCTGGGGTGCGGTCTAGGAATAACGCCAGATGCATAAACATTTACATGCTATCAGATTAACTCCCTGATCACGGAAGACTGCAGCTTTTTTCATATTTATTTTTGTAAACAGTCGTGGCGCCCGGCACCGTGGGCAGGGCCCTGGCCCCTGGCTGTGGTGCGTGGGATCCTGATTAAAGCAATGGCCGCTCTGTGTCTGCCTCTGTTCGTGTGTCCTACCCACGGCCACTTACAGCGGGCCTTTTTCTTTTTAAGGTTTGTTTATTTACTTGAAGGGGAAAGGCAGAGTTACACAGAGAGAGGGAGAGACAGAGATCTTCCACCTGCCGGTTCACTTTCCAAATGGCCACAATGGCCAGGGCTGGGCCAGGCTGAAGCCAGGAGTCTAGAGCTCCATCCAGCTCTCCCACGTGGGTGCAGGGGCCCAGGCACTCGGGCCATCTTCCACTGCCTTCCCAGGCCATGGCAGAGAGCTGGATCGGAAGTGCAGCAGCCGGGACTAGAACCAGCGCCCATACGGGATGGCAGCAGCTTAACCTGCAGCACCACAGTGCCAGCCCCTAGAGTCAGGATTAGAATTTTGTTTTAAAGATTTATTTTATTTGAAAGGCAGAGTTACAGAGAGAGGGGTCTTCCATCGCTGGTTCACTCCCCAGATGGCCGCAACGGCAGGAGTTGCGCCGATCCAGAGCCAGGAGCCAGGAGCTTCCTCCAGGTCTCCCACACAGGTGCAGGGGCCCAAGGACTTGGGCCATCCTCCACTGCTTTCCCAGGCCACTGCAGAGAGCTGGATCGGAAGAGGAGCAGCGAGGTCTTGAACCGGTGCCCATATGGGATGCCGACCCTGCAGGCAGCGGCTTTGCCCCCTACACCACAGCACTGGCCCCATGGCTGCTTTCTTATGCTTTACCTGGGCCAAGTTGGACCTTCTGGCCTGCCTCTGCCCACAGTAGTAAGGACTTAGGGGCCACCAAGAGCCAGGGTATGCTCCAAGGCTGTGTCCCCAGGTGGTCTGCAGCTGCTGTGACCTTGGGCAAGTGAAGGAATGTCCTGGAACCCAGCTGCTCCGTCTGGGATGCCAGGAGACACGGCGACCGCGCCAGCGTGGCAGGCAGTGAGGGAGACCCGGCGACTGTGCCAACATGGCAGGCAGGGCCCAGGGGGAACAGGGCCGGGAGTTCGCGGCTGGGAACTGCTGTGAGCGCTGAGGCTGAGCTGGCAGCTCCAGCCCCTCCCAGAGTTCCCTGCGTGGGGGCTGGTGCCCAGGCCGCTGCACTCTGCCTTCTCCAAGAGGATTCCAAGTGGGTCGTAAGCGAAGGCCGAGAGCGCGGACTCCCAGGCGTCTGAACTAACTTAAACCCGCGACGGGCACCCGCCGTCTCCCTCCCGTCCCCAGCCCCGCTCCTGAGCCTTTGCTGTCGCTGCTTCCTAGCAGACTCATCGTCGACCTCGGCCACAGGTGCATCCTAAAAATAGATTTATGGATTTACTTTAAAGGGGGAGAGAGAGAGAGAGAGAGAGAGAGAGAGAGAGAGAGAGATCTTCCATCTGCTGGTTCTCTCCCCGGATGGCCACAATGGCCAGGGCCGACCGAGGCAGAAGCCAGGAGCCAGCACTTCCTCTGGGTCTCCCACGTGGGTGGCAGGGGCCCTGGGGCTTGGCATCCTCGGCTGCTTCCCCAGGTCTGCCAGCAGGGAGCTGGACTGGAAGTGCAGCAGCAGAGAAACGAACCAGTGCCCATAAGGGATGCCGGCGTCAGAGCCGGTGGCTTTGCCCGCTACGCCGCAGTGCCGGGCCCCGGCAAGTGTGTGTTTAATTTCAGGTACAGACCCTGGTGATGGCCTGGCTGGGAAGTCACCTGCAGCTCCTCCCAACGGGGGGAAGAGAAACAAGGGGCCGGTGTTAGTCAGCTCCTAATTATTCGAATTAGTAAGCAAAGGGGCTCATTTAGCTCCAGGTCTGGGAGGTTCAAGTCCGAGGTGGACTTACCCATCGGTCTGGCCTCTAGAGAGGCCGGTGGGAGGAGGCGCAGCAGGGCGCGAGTGCCCGTGGGAGCCCAAGGTGCCGTCCACTGCTGGAGCGGAGAGACGGCCGGGTCAAAGTCAGAATTCACCGCAGCCTGTCCCTGGGCCCCACCTGCTACGGCTTCCAGCACCCCCCGAGCATCCCCTCCCCAACCAAGCCTTGAACTCGGGGCCCTGGGGACCTCCAGGTGCAAACCACAGCAGGGCGAGAGACAAAGGCACAGCCCTGGCCCTGCCAGTCTCCCTGCCCTGGCTGGCTGAGTGGCACCAGGGCCCTGGTGTCCTCCTTGCTGGGTAGGACGAGGGGCAGCTGCAGGGCTGCCTGCACCTGCAGCCTGGGGCAGCGTCCACGTCCCCTGCTTGCCAGGAGTCACCCCCAGCACGCGGCGGGGCAGGATTCACAGCAGCAAAGCCGCGGCCCCCATGCCCATCGCGCAGGGAGCGGGTCCCCTGGAAACCTCGCGTGCCCGGCACAGGAGGTCCACGGGCGCCCCCTGGCGGCCAAGCCTCCTCCCTCCGTGCCGCTGTGCCCGCCCACCGGGAACTTGGCGGGGGCGTCCCTGCAGGCCACCGCCCTGCCCCCCGGAGCCTTCCAGGCGACCCCACTCTGCCAGCCGTCGCCTTTGTCCCTACTCCCGGGCCAGGGGTCCTCGTCTCCCACCGGGGGACAGCGTTCTTCCCGTTTGTGCTGTAACCGCCTCCCTGCCCGAAGGAAGCCGAGAGTCCAAGGGAGGCAGTACACTCACTCCCGGGCAGACCCTGGCCTTCTGCCCCCGGCCCTCCAGCTGGCCCATCTGGGGCACCGCGTGCGCGTCGTCAGCCGCGCGTCTGCGTCCACAACTCTGTTTTACCACTGAGGCGCGGGCTGGGCTTGGGCGGCCCAAGGACTGCGGGCAGACCCCGGCCCCGCCCCGCGGCGCCACGCCACGCCCCTCCCTGGCCCCGCCCCGGCCCCGCCCCGGCCCCCTCGAAGCGGCGCCCCGCCCCAGCCCCGCCCACTCCTGCCCCCTCCCCCGTGCAGCGGAGCTACGCCCCGCCCCTCACTGGCCCCCGCCCCGCCCACTCCTGCCCCCCTCCCCCGTGCAGCGGCTCTACGCCCCGCCCCTCCCTGGCCCCGGCCCCGCCCCTCCCTGGCCCCGCCCCGGCCCGGCCCGCCCCTCCCTGGCGCCCAGCCCCGCCCAGCCCCGTCCCGCCCACTCCTGCCCCCCTCCCCCGTGCAGCAGCGCTACGCCCCGCCCCGGCCCGCGCAGGCCCCGCCCAGCCGCCGCGGCATTTTGGACGCGAGGCTGAGATGCGGTCGCTGCTTGTGCCGTCCCACTGCAGCGAGGGAGGAAATCCACACGCTGGAACCCGGGGTGCAGGCGGCACAGGGGGGCACCCGTGGAAGGCAGGGACGGCGGCAAACGCGCACCCCCGACCCGGGCGGGCTCAGGGGCGCGGGGAGAGAGGCGGGGCCACAGGACAAGGTCGGGGAGCCGCGGGTGCATGAGTGTGTGAGAATGTATGTGTGTGAGTGTGAGAATGTGAGTGCGTGAGTGTGAGAATGTGTCAGTGTGTGAGAATGAGTGTGTGTGAGGTGTTCGTGGATGAGTGTGAGAATATGTGAGAATGTGTGTGAGAAAGTGAGTGTGATAACGTGAGTGTGAGAATGTGTCAGAATGTGAGTGTGAGAATGTATGTGTGTGTGAGAACGTGTGTATGTGAATGAGTGTGTGTGGTGGTGGTCATGGATGAGTGTGAGAATGTGAGTGTGAGAATGTGTGTGTATGTGAGAATGTGTGAGTGTGAGAAAGTAATGCATGTGAGAATGAGAATGTGTGTCAGTGTGAGAATGTGTGTGTGAGGTGTTCGTGGATGAGTGTGAGAATATGTGAGAATGTATGAGTGTGAGAATGTGCGAGTGTGAGAATGTGAGTGTGAATGAGCGTGTGAGGTGTTCATGGATGAGTGTGAGAATGTGTGAATGAGACTATATGTGTGAGAATTGTGTGTACGTGTAGAATGTGAGTGTGTGAGACTGGTTGTGCGCGTGTCTGGGTGCGTGTGGCAGCAGTGGCGTGGGAATGTGTGTGCCACGCTTGCTGTCCGCGGTGCCTCCTCCTGCCGCGCCCGATGCCTGATCTGGGGGCCTGGGCGGGAGCTCCTGCAGGGTCTGTCCGTCTGGGAACACCTGCGTTTGCCCCTCGTGCTTCCAGGCTAGCAGTGCAGGCCGCAGAATCTGGGGGACAGGCTGTTCCCGAGGGCGGTGCCCGCGGTCTCTGTGGGAGGAGTCACTCCTCTCGCGGCCTCAGAGCCCCTTGTCTCCGGTGACGGTGCGCCTCCCCGTACACCTCCGGGCTCATCCTGCCTGCAGCTCGTTGAGCTCTGTGGATGTGTATGCGGCATTTGGATCAGATTTGCGGTGCTTTGGCCAGTGTTTGTTCAAATGCTTCTTTCCACGCTTTCTGTCTCGTCTCCTCCTGAGACCTCTGCCACGCTGGTGTGGCCACGTCCCACGGGTCCCACACGTCCCACAGGACTTTTTTCTTCACTCTTTTCCTTTCGCCCCCCCCCCCCACACACACTGGGTAACTTGGGCGGAGCCCCCTCCAGCTTTGCTGCCCCGTTCTTCGCTTGCGCAGACCTGCTGCGGCTGTCTAGCGGATTCTTCATTTCGGTCCTTGTGGTTTCCAGCTGCAGAATGCCCTTTGCTTGCCTGTCGTGCGTCTGTTTTTGTTGAGTCTGCAAAGCTTGCTTTCCTGACTCCTTCAGTTCATTGCCCACGACTGCCTGTAGTTCACTGAGCACATTTAAAACCCTTCATTTGGGGCTGGCGTCACAGCACGCGGACTAAGACGGCACCTGCAACACTGGAATCCCCTGGGAGCGCTGCTTCGGCTCCTGACTGTTCTGTTTCAAATTCAACTCCCTGCTGAGCCGGCGGAGCAGTGGAAGATGGTCCACGTGCTTGGGCCCTGCACCCACGTGGGAGACCTGGGTGGAGTTCCTGGCTCCTGGTTTGGCCTGGCCCAGCCCGAGACAAAGCAGCCAACTGGGAAGTGAACCAGTGGATGAAAGATCTCACTCTTGAAACTCCCTCTCTCTAACTCTGTCTTTCAAACAAATAAACCTTTAAAACACCTTATTCCTCTTCCCTGACTAGTAATTCCTGTGTCTGGGCTTCCTCAGGAGTGTTTCCTGCTTCTCTCTCCGTGAAGGGACCATCCAATCCCACGCGGGTGTGGGCTGTGCTGTGTTTGTTGAGAATCCGATTCCGCACTCCTCAGGGGCTGCTGGGCGCTGTCTGCGGAGAGCCGGGGTGGTCCTTTTGTCACTTTCCCGAAATACTCTGAGAAGATGTGCATTCCCTGGGCCTGCTCCCTGACGTCTTGTCCCCCAGGTTGGTTTGTTTGTTTGTTTTTAAGATTTATTTACTTATTTGAAAGTCAGAGTTACACAGAGAGAAGAGAGAGAGAGAGAGAGAGAGAGAGAGAGAGAGAGGTCTTCCATCCGCTGGTTCACTCCCCAGTTGGCTGCAATGGCCGGAGATGCGCCGATCCGAAGCCGGGAGTCAGGAGATTCTTCTGGTCTCCCATGTGGTGCAGGGGCCCAAGGACTTGGGCCATTCTCCACTGCTTTCCCAGGGCATAGCAGAGAGCTGGGTCAGAAGAGGAGCAGCCAGGTCTCGAACCAGCGCCCATATGGGATGCCGGCACTTCAGGCCAGGGTGTTAACCACAGCGCCGGCCCCTCCCCCAAGTTTCTATTCAGTATCCTATTTGTCCTCACTGAAGAATTTCCTTTAACATTTCCTATCACACAGGTCTGATAGCCAGAGAGTCTCCCAATTTTCAGGGTTTAAGCTAAAAGCCTTTATTTCATCTTCATTTTATGAAAGATAATTTCCCTGTCCAAGAACCCTGCTGTGGCAGGTTTTTTTTAATATTTTATTTATTTTTTTAAGAGGTAGAGTTACAGACAGTGAGAGGGAGAAACAGAGAGGTCTTCCATCCACTGGTTCACTCTCCAAATGACTACAACAGCTGGAGCTGAGCCAATCTGAAGCCAGGAGCTTCCTCTGGGTCTCCCACGCAGGTGCAGGCGCCCAGGCACTTGGGCCATCTTCTACTGCTTTCCCAGGCCACAGCAGAGAGCTGGATAGGAAGTGAAGCAACCAGGACTAGAACTGATGCCACATGGGATGCCGGCACTGCAGGTGGAGGCCTTACCCGCTACGCCACAGCGCTGCCCCCGGACCTGTCCTGCATTCCTGGAATAACTCAGTTTGTCAGCACATGTTATCTATTTCATTTATCACGGAGTTGGATTTCCTAAAACGTGCTCAGATGCATATTCATAGAGGAGATTGCGTTTTTGCCCCTATATTAGCCTTCTCTGATGGCCTCAAATAATGGCGTGGGTAATAGTCTCTGCTCTTGAATTTTCTGGAAGATTTTTTTTTTTTTTTGACAGGCAGAGTGGACAGTGAGAGAGAGAGAGAAAGGGCTTCCTTTTGCCGTTGGTTCACCCTCCAATGGCCGCTACGGCTGGTGCGCTGCGGCCGGCGCACCGCACTGATCCGATGGCAGGAGCCAGGTGCTTTTCCTGGTCTCCCATGGGGTGCAGGGCCCAAGCACCTGGGCCATCCTCCACTGCCTTCCCAGGCCACAGCAGAGAGCTGGCCTGGAAGAGGGGCAACCGGGACAGAATCCGGTGCCCCGACCGGGACTAGAACCTGGTGTGCCAGCGCCGCAAGGCGGAGGATTAGCCTAGTGAGCCACGGCGCCGGCCCGAATTTTCTGGAAGATTTTGTGCAGAAATACTGCTTTTTTATTCCTTAATATTTCCTGGAATTCGTGAGCGAAGCCTTGTGAGCCTCGTTTTCTTTGTGGGAAGGCCAAGTGCAAACGCCATCTCCCCGACGGCTCGCGGCTGAGACGCGGGCTCCTTCCTGCGTGGGCTTCAGTGGTTTGCGGCCAGCAGGGGGTCTGTGCACTTCGTCCACCAGTTGTCGGTCACTGCCACTCAGCGCTCGCGAGAGCGGCAGACTCCACAGTGAGGCTTCTCTTTCCTGCCTGAAGTCGGCGACTTGTGTCTCCTGATCAGGACAGCGAGAGATCCAGAAGATTCCTTGATCACAAAGACTGGCGTTTGGATCCGCTGCTGCTTCTCCACGGTTTCCGTTTTCCGTGTCGTTGATTTCCAATCTGCATCATCTCCTTTTATCCTTTTCTGTTTTTAGGGGGCCCTCGCTCTGTGGGGAGGGACCCCGGCATCAGGTCCTTCTAGTCCAGCAGGGAGACCAAAGCTGAGCGGCACAGCACCCACTCTGTTCCGTGGCCAAGGAGTGGAGGAGCAGGAGGCTGGCTCCCGACCCCACCCCGCCCCTGCTGGGGGCGGAGACAAGGCGTGGGGGTGAGGGGGGACGTTCAGGGCCGCTCTGGGAAGGGGCCTGTAATTCTCAGACGTCACAGCTGCCTCTTTTTGTCCTCCTGTGGCCTGTTCCCGGGGTTGTCATGGTGATTGGCATCTGTCACGACCTTGATGGGAGGCCATTTAGCACGGCAGTTGGATTGCAGTGAAGGCGGAGGGCGGCCGAGGCAGCCATACTGCACCCGCTGGTCCTGGCTGCTGAGCCTGACGGACAGCTCCGATGGCCAGGCTGCCTGTTCTGTAGGGAGACAGTGCTGGGGTGGGGGAGCTTTAACCAGGCCAGGTGGGTGCTGCCCTGGGTAGCATTATGCTTATCACGCCTACTTTTTTTTTTTTTTTTTTTTTTTTTTTTTGACAGGCAGAGTGGACAGTGAGAGAGAGACAGAGAGAAAGGTCTTCCTTTTGCCGTTGGTTCACCCTCCAATGGCCGCTGCGGCCGGGCACTGTGGCCGGCGCACCGCGCTGATCC